CAAGAACCATTCACTTTAAAGACACTCTGGCTAATTTGCACCTGAAAACAAGAATTCCTAGAGAAGGGGGCTATTTTATTTTTCTCTTTCTCTGTTTTATTGTTCAAGGAGGCTATTTTTTTAATCAAAAGGAATAATTGTTATTTCAGGCATTAAAAGGAGTACAAAGGCTTATCAGCGCCATTTAAATCACAATGGCACCTACTTCACCTACAGTTGTGGTCTCAACCCTGGAGGTATGTAGAAACATCCAGAACACTTCTTAAGAATACTGAAAGCTGAGACCCTACTCACAGAGATTCTGCTTTAGTTGGACTAGCTTCAAACCTGAGCAAGGGTGTTTTTGTAAAGGCTCCGCAGGCAATTCTGTTGTGCAGTCAGAGTGGGGAACCACTGATTTAACCCTACATTGGCCCTGCCCTGACTGGTGTGGCTTAGTTGGTTGGGCTTCCTCCCACAAAGCACATGCCTGGATTGCAGGCTCAGTCTCAGGTTGGGGTGCTTACGAGAGACAACCAATCAGTGTTTCTCACATCGATGTTTCTCTCCCTTTCTTTCTCCCTCCCTTCGCCCCTCTCTAAAACTAAATAAAACATTAAAAAAAAAAAACCCTACACTGTCCTTGCTCTTGAGAAAAAGAAAAGCTGAATGCCATTTGAAGAATAAATCCTAAAGCATGGTGATGGTGGAAGGACTGTGAGAGTCATTGATAAAGTGAACAGAAGGATAAAAATAGGCCCAGCAACTCCATAATAAGCAAGTGCTTGGCAGCACCAAAAGAAGAAGTAATATGTGGCTGATTCAGTTCCCTCCCCCAACCCCCCAAGGCAAATGGCCTGGCCCTGTTAGTCTTTAAATCTGCTTTCCAGATGGTTCCTGGATATGACAGTAGATAAAATCTCTGAGCAACAGAGCTATGTCCAAATGGTTGTTGATATACCTGAGTCAGTAGTTCTTCAGTAGATAAGATAATTTTACATAGAAGATAAATGATTTTGTTACAAACGAAATGTTATTTGCATTTTACTGAGTACTGTGGGTTCAGCATTTTTGACTAACTTGCTTATTTTATAGAGCGACTCCAGGATGGACAAAGGGTGAGTTCACATTGTGCAGCTGGATAATCTTTACTTAAGCTTTGGCCTCCTCAGTGATCCCATAGCAGCACCTTGCTGTTGATAACATAACAAAGCGCTTATTATGATATAACGTTTCGCATCACTGCTTGGTTTGCCTTTGCTGTATTTCCCTGCTTCAAAGGTGGTCTTTCAGGAAAGTGGATGGAGAACATGGGCCACATTTTACCCAGCAGTTTTTTTCTCTCTCGACATTCTTAAAACAAAGCGTGCTGCAGAAACATCTTTGGTATTCTGAGCAAGCAGTGTATCCTATTTTTAGGGAAAATTGCACCCACGGATAACAAGACTTCAGGGAGGGGGGATGTCTATCTATTGACAAGCCTCTGCTCTGGGATGTCTGGAGAAAAAATCAAGCATTGGGGGAAACCCTTTGATCAAAAAAGGAAACAAGTTACATTCTGCCCCTTTAGAAAAATGCCTACAGAAACAAGGGAGTGCAATTTAGAAACACTAGTCCTCATTGTATTTCTTCCTTTATGCATATATTTACCCTTATAAATACCTACAAATTCATTCATTTACTTGATTAAAAGGCCAATCATAACTATACCTCACTTGGAAGGTTTGTAAAGTTTAATTAATGTTTCTAATGTATGAAATAAACTCACAAGATGAAAGATTCTAATACAGTATATGGAGTATGTGTTAAGTGTCCAGTCTGGTTTAGTCTAATAAGGGCCATAATTCTATAGTGTCCTATACTGCATGTCTTGATTATTGTGGTTTCGGTGACTTCAACCTTGAAAAATGTATTTTTATGTTGAGAATGTGTTTAACATTTACGTGTATAGAATATATGTTTCTGTTCTAGCTAGCCCCAATTAGTTGATTCTTGATGTAAACGACATTTTACAAAGCAATATTGGGAGGATTTTCTTCTTTTAAATTGGCCCTAGGGTGCCAAGAAGTCACAAAGTTATGGTCCTCACATGTCATATAATATTTAAACTGGTATGTGCCACAAAATGTAAATGTTAAATTTAAAAAAATCACTATTAAAAATCACATATCCATATTAAGATATGCTATTTAGTGAGGACTGAAAGTAAAATGAGGTTGTAAAATGTCAAAAGGAAGATTATTAAACATATATACATATTTCCACAAAACTCACTTGAGTATATTTCATAGAAAACTTAAATAGTAGATTGAACTACTGGGCCATCAAAAGTAAGCTAGAGCTCAAGAACCAAGGGTCTTTTAGAACTAGTAAGTCTCCGTAGAGTGAAGGGTTTAGATAACCATGTCAGATTCGGAGCTATTATTACTAGAATGTAGTTGAATATTAATAGGACTTGGCTATCCTTTATGTTACTTACAAAAGTTTATCTTTGTAGGGCAAAGCATCACCTTCCCGTTGCACTAATACTTGTAAATTCAAAAATAGCTAGCACTTCCATACATCATTCTAAAGACTATAATACATTAATTAGAACTGGGCCCACTTTTTTGTTTTGAAATGTCCTTGGTTAAAATGCAAATCCTCCTAGAAGAGGTACTTTTGGGCCATTATCAGCTGGCCCATCCATACACCCTTCTTAGGAATTGAACTACATGCATTAGAACAACCTTATTCATAACCCTGAAAACTAGCCAGTTAATCCTTCTTTATAAAGATATGGCACTATTTTATCCTTATTCAATGAAATATTCAATTCAGTAAGTATTTACTCTGCATTTACACAGTTGTTCAGCATCTTGTGAAAATGTGAGACACAATATAAGAGGGTTTAATGTTTTAGGATACCTTCCCTTGTCTTAAGAGTTTACAGACTCATATTAGGCAGCAAAGACAATACGCTACAACCAAATAGACAGGAACCCATCTGCCCCCCCCTTTTAGGTCTCTAGCTGCATTTTTTGTGGCCCTGGAGCCTAAGTTCCACTACAGCCTTGTTCTCAGCTGGCTCATCAAACAGCACAAAGCTGATAGAGTCCCAAGATGGTACCTTTTCTAGGAGGATTTGCATTTTAACCAAGGAGCTTTCAAGAGAGAAAAAACAAAAACAAAAACAAAGTGAGCCTGTGTAAACAAAGTTAGAAAATTGGTTTATCCTTAGGATTCTAACTGGTATATCTCAAGGTAGGATACAAACTGCTTTTACTCCACCTACAATCCCGTCACTCCCCTGCTTTTGTTTCCTTTTATTGAATTTATTGGGGTGACACTAGCTAACAAAATTATACAGGTTTCAAGTGCACAATTCCACAGTACATTCTCTGTACACTGTATGGTGTGTTCACCACTCCAAGTCAAGGTTCCATCCATCACCATTTATACTCTGGTTTCTCTTCAGAGTGTACAAATCTTTTGCCTTTCACACTCCTGCTTTGAAAAGCCGGGCTTACTTGATGGTTTTTCCATGCTGTCTACCCTAGCCTACAAGGTAGACTCCAAAAGTTTTGGCGTTTTGTGCCAGGTACTCCTGAACCTCATCTTCCTTACTTCCAACTGGACATCCTACTTTTCTTATGGAAAAGCCCACTGCACTTTCCAGATTTCTTTAAACAGGCCAGACCCTTTCAAAACTCTCTGCTTTCTCTGTTTCCACTGCTCAGAATGCCTTTTACTCCCTCTCCTCTTGTGTTTTTGGCCATTCTCCCTTTGAGACCCAGCATAAACTTCAATTCCTCTGTGAAAGTCTATTACAAAATTCCCCCAAATTTCTTGTTTCACCTCTTTCCACAGCACTTTGTACATCTGTTAATAGTACTGTTATGGAAATTAGTTTTGAAACTATCTTCCCCCGCTGGCTTCTCAATGGCAGGGACCTGGGGTAGTTTGTGGCATATGTCTTTCAATACATGCTTGTTGAATGTTTCTGCGGTTAGAATGATCAACAGGTTGGTAAATTTAGTTTTTTTATTGTTGTTCAATTACAATTGTCCCCCTTTCTTCCCTATTACTCTGCCCTGCCAGTGTTCTCTGCACCCCCTCCCAGTGCCCTCGAGTTAAATACAAACTCCCAACAGGACGTTTACAAGGTTTATTGTTGCTAATTTAACCCGATTTAGAGGTTTGTTCTCATGAGTTAATCCATTTTAAAATTTTGGCTTATGGAATACGTTGGTAGAAAACATTGACTTTTGGCAATATTTTCCTGAAACTTATTCGTCGAGACAAAGTGTATGAGCCGAGATTTGGTAAAATAAGTGGCGTTTAGTATGTAAACTACTAGGTTAATGACTGATGGGGTTGGGGGTTGGTCCTGGGAATTGTGTTGTAGGGGTGTGTGTGTTGGGGGGGGTGTTACCTTCCTGTTTCTTGGCCTTAGAATGCACCCTTAACTCTAGCCAGCCATCTTAGAAAATGCTCCTGATAGGAAATTAAAAGGGTTTGTAGCTGCATTACTGAGGAATGGATCAAAAGTCAGGCCCTATTCAATATTGAGTCATTGCTGTCCTTGACATAAAAAAGAAGCAATTTATAGCTCAACCGAATCAAAAACTGTTTTCCTTGCTAGCTAAACTGTTTCTTTTCCTTTCCTATCTTAACCTCATGACATTCCTCCCTAGCAGTACACAGAACGGCATGATTATGTTTTTCTCCATTTGGGGTTACTCCCTCCCTAGCCTTGCAACCCGTCCTTATTCCTTTATCTCTTTCAAAGTTTCCAGTCTCCCTACCCTTACTTTTTACTTCCTCCCTTCCTCCATCCCTCTCTCCCTCCTCCCCTATTTTCCCAGCTAGCTCACCCCGCCCCTCACCGTCACCACCTTCCCTCCCCTTCAAGCTCCTTCCCGCTCCATCTCTCACCACCTTTCTGCCCCCCCCTACCCCCCGCTGGCCTCGCGTTCAGAAAGCTCCAATCAGGGGCTCCGAAGGTGTTTCGGAGGCCCGCCCCTCCTCCCGGTCCACTTCTCATACCCCCCTTTTCCCCCTTTTCCCCCTTTCCCCCCTCCCCCCCAAGTCCTGCGGACCTGGGGGCTTCAGGATCTGGGCGCTATGAAAAGTGTCTCCTCAGTCACTTCCGGTAAGGGCGCTGCGGCGCGAAGCTTCCCGCGGGACCGTAAAGGAGGGGGTGGGAGTTATCCACGGGACGGGGGAGGACAGCACTGCTTAGGAAGCGGGCAGCAGACCAAGAGCAAAGAGCAAGCGGGAGCCCAAGTGCCAGACCATCTCAGGCGCGTCTGCCGCTGCTTTCCCGCCGCTTCGCAGTCAGCCAGCTCCCCCGCCCCCCTGGAGCCCGCAGTGCTTTTCTCCACCCCCCTCCTACCCCCGGACAGATACCGCCCCGCCCTCACTGCCGCGTGACCGGAAGTGGCGCCATCTTTTGCTTCTTGTGCTATTGACAATAACAAGCCTTGGCTCTCCTCCCCCCTCCCCCCAGCCACGGCTTCTCCCCTCCCAAAGAGAGGGAGAAAAGGAGGAGGAGCTGCAGCCTCACTGACTCACTGAGTCGCTCCAGCAGAAAGGGGGGAGAGAGACCGAAAAGCAGGAAAGGGGGACGGCACGGCCGTTTACCTGTCTGCCTTCTCATTCGCTCTCCCCCCTTGTTCTGCTCACTCCTGGTGTCAGCCTATCCGCCTTCCGAAACCCTCCCATTCCCCCGGTGTAGCCCCCCCCTTCACTTTCCTTCTCGTCCTCTGTGTTTCTCCTCTCTTCTTTCTTCCCTTCCCCCTCGAGCATTGCCACCTTCTCTCCTACACGCACGCAGGCATATAAACGTAGGTTTTTGATGCTCCTCTGCCTGTTGACCCCGCTATTTTCATGTTTCCAACAGGTTTTTCTTCCCCCAATCCCTCAGCTGCTGCTGCTGCTCAGGAGGTCAGATCTGCCACTGATGGTAATACCAGCACCACTCCGCCCACCTCTGCCAAGAAGAGAAAGTTAAACAGCAGCAGCAGCAGCAGTAGCAGCAGTAACAGTAGTAACGAGAGAGAAGACTTTGATTCCACCTCTCCCTCCTCTTCCACTCCTCCTTTACAACCTAGGGATTCGGCATCCCCTTCAACCTCGTCTTTCTGCGTGGGGGTTTCGTTGGCTGCTTCCAGCCACGTACCGATACAGAAGAAGCTGCGTTTTGAAGACACCCTGGAGTTTGTAGGGTTTGATGCGAAGATGGCTGAGGAATCCTCCTCTTCCTCCTCCTCATCTTCACCAACTGCTGCAACATCTCAGCAGCAGCAACTTAAAAATAAGAGTATACTAATCTCTTCTGTGGCTTCGGTGCATCACGCAAACGGCCTGGCTAAATCTTCTACCACCGTCTCTAGCTTTGCTAACAGCAAGCCTGGCTCTGCTAAGAAGTTAGTGATCAAGAACTTTAAAGGTAACCAAAGCCAAAATCCATAATCACCTACTAAGGATTTGACACTTGAGCAGTCACGTGCTCTATTTATGTTAATATATTAAACAGTATAGAGGTGGCCTAATGTGTTATGCATAATCAATGAGGTGGAGGGAGGTCCTTTTTTGGGTGGAGGGTTCATTTTCCGGGGGTGGTTGGTATCCTTGTGCTGAAGCCTGCAGCGGGTGTTTCTGTGCAAGCTTTTGAGGTCTGTTTCAGCCTATTGTATCTAATCTGTTACTCCTTACAACATTGACAATCGGTATGGGTGATCCGGATTTTACAGGTGAGAAATTTCTATTCTGAAGAGCTTTATTTATTTCAGGTGCATAGTTAGTCTTGGCACTGCTGGGATTTTTATTTTTGTGCTCCAGTAGGCCACATTCTCCAGTCCCTAGAAATGCAGGTAGTCATGATGATCTTTTCATGCTCAAAGAAGATTTATAGTTAGATTTTTAATGTTGAATACTATATTCCTGAAACTCATTGTGGAAACAATATTTGGAGAAAAATACTTATGATCTCTGCATTTCTTTCCAAAGGTAGGGTTTGGAAGTGAAAAATACTGTATATACACAGAAGTAGTTAACTCTGTGTAGCACTAGTGTAAAGATTACTACATATATATTTTACTATTAAAATGGGCTTTAAAGTACTGACTGCACCTTTTCGGAAAATTTATTCATTTTTGTGTTTGAGATGTGATTGAGAGAATTATGGATGCAAAATTTTACATTGATACAAATATGAAATTAGCAATTTAAAAAAAGTCAACTTGAGCTGAATTACTTTGTATCTGTTAACTGTGTTTCCAGTTTTCTGACGGACTTCTTCAACATTCTTAACTGGCAGGTAATAGATGCTAAATTGTTCGTTAAGTGAAGAAGTAAATGAATGAACTAAAGTAATTTACCAGATTAAGTGCCTTGTGACTAAATGTCAGTATTGAGAAAATTAGCTTTTCCATGCTTGTATTTTCAATGTAAGTGTGGAAATCAGGAATATGCTCTGTTTTGTCTCAAGCAGAGGGTTATAGTGTTGCTTATTTTTAACCTTTTCTTTTCTCTATTACTCCTCTCCCATTCCCAGGTGCTCAAGAGTGTTGTAATCTTCCTGATTTAATAGTAGACCTTTCTGAAGTAAATATAAGTTGTAATTGACTAATGTGTTCACTATTTCACTTAAAATATATCGATTTAATAGCTGAGGATTTTTAAACAAATGAGCTATGACCCTAATTGCATTTGCATACTGGTTTCAGAGACTTTGTTTAGAGTTTTTCCTCTCATAAACTAAACAATCGTTATTAAAGGCATTTGGATGTTTTAACTAAAAAGAATACTCATTACTGGTAAAGGAAATTTAAAGCCATTCTGAAAATACTACATAGGTTCTGGAGTCATTTGGATGTTTTAATATTTTAAAAATTTCCCTATGGTCATATATGTAGTTTAAATTCAAACCTGAATTAAAAATGGTTCTCTCCATTTCTATAGATGCTGCATAACTGTGGGGGTCAAAGAGACTTGGGTTAGAAATCCCAGTTTTGCCACTGACTGGCTATGGTGACCTTGGGCAAACCTTATTAAATGAATTTTCCAGCTTCAGTTTTCTCAGTTGCAAAATAGGGATAATAATGCCATGCTCAGGGCATTATTAAGAAAATTAAGATGTTTATAAAGTACCTTGTACATAATAGATACTTAGTATTATTTTAAATTTCAGGTACAATATTCATGTTGACTGACTTAAGTTTCACACATGATAGAATAAGATCAGGATTGCTATTTTTTATCTTCCATTCTTGAATTTTTATTTCTTGAAGCAATAAAATTAATAGAAAAAACAAACCCTCACCTTCAATTTTAATAGGTGAGTCAAAATGACTTAAATAGTATTCTGGCATTTCAATTTTACTCTTTATATTATGCCTAAATATAGTGGTTACTTTAATATTTAAGAAGAATAATTATAAAGACCATAATTTATCCTTAAAAGTAGTAATATTATTATTATATTTCATGGATTCCTCTGTTGCTGTATTCTACTTATTATTCTCATATCAACCTTTTACATCCTATCTAGATAAACCTAAATTACCAGAAAACTACACAGATGAAACATGGCAGAAACTGAAGGAAGCAGTGGAAGCTATCCAGAATAGTACTTCAATTAAGTACAATTTAGAAGAACTCTATCAGGTATGTATTAATGTGGATAAGCAGATTTGGTCTGTATAAATGGAGGTGGCTATATATGGTTTTTACTTTCTTTTTTAATATTTTTTATTTTTTTAATTTTTTCAATTACAGTCTACATTTAATATTATTTTGCATTAGTTTCAGGTATATACATAGTGGTTAGACAGTCATATACTTTACAAGATGATCCCCCTGATATGGGTTCTTATGTTACCTTTTGGTTCTCTACAATTTCTTGATTAATTTATGCACATTTTAATAAACTATGGATATAGTCATATTGGTATAAGTTGGGCTTATCTTGGACCCTTCTGATTAGAATTTACAATTTGGAGTACTTTGGTATAATAGAGGTTTTACCTATGCCTGAATCCCAAAGATGATTTTGGGTGACATATTCTGTTGTACTTCTTGCTAAGTTGTGTTACTTACCTATAGGAAAGGCCTCAAAAATGTAGATATTCTCCATGGTATGCATTTTTTCCTACCTCCTTCCTATTAGCCTTTTTCCACTTCTTTTTCTTTTTATGTTAGTCTTACCTCCTGGGCTACAAGACATACCTTAGCCGAAAAATGAGCTGCAGGTTGTAGCCCAGCAACTTGGTGTGAGGTTCACTTTTGTTTCTTTTGCTTAATAAATGGGCCTGTAGTTAAAGTGTTTAATTTAAATATACTATTAAGGACAATTACTGATTTATACTTCTTGCTACCTAGATATTTTACCCTACTGTATATTTTTAAATACTTTATTTATTTAATTTTTAGAGAGGGGAAGGGAGAGAGATATCAATATGTGGTTGCCTCTGTGCGCCCTACTGGGGGCCTGGCCCACAACCCAGGCATGTGCCCTAGATTAGGAATCCAACCGGTGACCCTTTGGTTGGCAGGCCAACACTCAACCACTGAGCCAATCCAGCCAGGGCTATCTTACTGTATTTTTGATACAACCAATTCAAGAAGTTACTTTCCTTTATTGCATCTGCAGTTTCACATAAAAAATAGTTCAGAGTCCAGTAGCTTTGAGGGTTTTTTTTTAAGTCCTTACCAAGCCAAAGATATGTGTATGGATTTTAGAGAGAGAGGAAGGGGGGAGAGAGAGAGAGAAAGAAAGAGAAACATCAATCAGTTGTCTCCCATATGCTCCCCTACTGGGGATGGAACCTGCAACCTAGGTATGTGCCCTGACTGGGAATCAAATCTCCAACCCTTTGGTACATGAGGACAATGCTCCAGCCGTCTGAGCCACCCGGCCAGGGCAGTAGCTTGAGTTTTTGTATTGATAAGTACCTTGTAAGAATTTATGTTTTTCACTTTATCAGAATTCATAGTTTTCATCTATTTTAGTTGCAAGGTAGTATGGTGATGGACAAACCTTGGATTAGGAGTAAAAAGACAGAGAGGTTTGTGATCTCGTTTTAACTACTCTTACCCTTTGGATCTTGGGCAAGGAACTAAACCTCCCTTGGCTTCTTTTTTCTCCTCTGTAAAATAGGGGAAAGAATGCCTGTCCTATTTACCTCATGAGGTTGCTTATAAGAATCAGATAAAATGTGAAAAACACCTTAATGCACTGTGATACAGAAATATGTTATTTTTTCATAAGCCACAGTGTGGCTTTTTCATTTGTAATTTATTAATTGAGATCACCAGTTTCTGTTGCTGTAAAAATTAAGTGAGTCAATGCATGCAAAATACTCAGAATAATGCCCAACATGGTAATATTGCTGTGTAATACCATAAGCATTACAATGTTCATATCATAAATATAATGCTATGTGTCAGGTGGTAGTAGTACCTAAGCTATCACTTCAAGATAAATACACCTTGTTTGGCTATGTTGGTATATTACTTACATGGCTCCCAAGTTGTGCAATAATAAAAGTAGAATTACAGAATTAGACTTGGAAAGGCCTTAAGAGATCACGTGGTCCAATATCTTTGTATTGTGTGCATGGCAGCCTACAAAGGTTCATCTCATATTATCTCATTTAAGCATTATAGAAACTCATTCTGAAGTAGATAGGGTAGTAATTATTATCCATATTCTACCAATGATGAAACTGAGTCTCAAGGAAGTTAAATAATGTGCCCAGAGGCATTTATCACCAGGGTAGTGGACTCAAACTAAGATGCCCAAGTTTCTAATTCAGTGCTTTTTCCCTACCATGCTGCCTCACTAATACACCACAGCACTTTAAATGCCTCTGTAGTGCAGTGTTTAAAGGAAATAAATAGTTTTACTTAAGGAGAAAAAAATGTGTCATCAAAGGTTTTTTTTTATTTGTGCATATATAGGATGTTTATTTGGATATACTGTGTGCAGTATCTTTTCTAAAAGTTTTTATTTATTTATTTTAGAGGGGGGGAAGTGAGGGAGAGAGAGGGGGAGAGAAACATCAATGTGTGGTTGCCTCTCACATGCCCACTACTGGGGACCTGGCCTGCAACCCAGGCATGTGCCCTCCCTGACTGGGAATCAGATGGATGACCCTTTGGTTCACAGGCCAGTGCTCAATCCACTGAGCCACACCAGCCAGGGTTGTGTACAGCACCTTTAATTTCAATAATGTGTTACTTTGTGTAGTTCATATTTATGATGTATTGATTGTGGTTGTTAATTTACCTTGTTACTTTACCTTGAATATTTTTCTAGAGCTTCAGGATTAAAAATATTTTTCCTGATAAATTTATTCTGTCAAATCCATTTGTGTTTCAAGAGCTCATAACTTATCTTTTTATCCATTTTTTCTTTCTTGTAGTTTAGAAATATTACCTGCTATTGTTTAATTGCATTTATGTAGCCTAAAATCAGCAGTATAACTTTCCAGTATTTGCATTTTACATAGTAATTTACTACATCTGCAATAATAAATTCAAAAGCATTTGTGTCTAGCTCTTTTGTTGTTTTTTATCATAATTTATAAATAATCTTTTGGATTCTCAGAAAGAGTATTTTGAGATGTACAAGTTAAAAAACAAGGATAAAAGGATAAAGGGAGTAAAATTACTTCATGCCATCTGGATTTCAGGTGTGTGTTTGATTTTGACTGGCTGAAATGTAATTTAATAATACTCTCCTAAAATTGAAACACTATACAAGTATGTAGTATACCAAACAAAAGCTCTCCAATCCTCTCATTTTCCATCTGATCCTCTCTTTGTCTCTAATGTAGCCACTTATTTGGCATATATTTATGTAGAACTTTTTTCCATGTATGCAAAACCATTTTACTTTAAAGCTTAAGCATGAAAGTCCTTAGTGTGGATTGTATGCACTGCATCATGAGTTTTTAATTTCTGAAAAAGAACATGCTCTTCTGAGTGCATTTGCAGTAAGCAGAGGTTGTCTTTTAAAAGTGGTTTTTAAATGAGAATTCTACCTGAGTATAAAAATTATCTTTCACTGACAACCTTGAACCCTGCAAGAGTGAGGCAGTGGTTAATATTGTTTTGGTTTGGATTTTTTTCTTTGCTTGTTTTTAGTCATCTACAAATAGGAGTATGGTTAAATGGACTGCTTTTGAGTTGATAAGCCTACTTTAGAGAACAGATCTGACACTCATACTTTCCTAAGCCTTGGTTTCCTTATTTGCAAAATGGGGAAAACTGAAACAGCCTATATGGCAGGGTTGTTTAATAATAAATAAAATACTGAAAAAAAGTACTTACTACAGTGCCTGCTATATATACTGGTATCATTCCTAATGATAAATATTTAAGTCTTTTAAAATATATCTTTATCTTAGGTTACATTTTATTATACACCTCTAAAGTCACACATGTTTTCAAATTCTAAATCCACACTGAGCCAGAACAGCTGGCTGCTACGTAGTTTACATTCTAAATATGTATTGGTAGATACCATTAGCCAAATTGAAAAAATAATAGAAAAGGAGAGGAGCTCTCTAGGAACAGTGCCCCTCTGCACTTTCTGAGGAACATATCTTGGCCCTGGCAAGGTGTCTTGGTTGGTTGGAGCATTGTCTTGTGCACTGATAGGTTGCAGGTTTAGGTAGCAGGTTCGATCTCCATCAGGGCATGTGCAGGAAGCAACTGATTGATATTTCTCTCTGGCATGAATGTTTCTTTCTCTCTCTCTAAAATTAATGTAAATATCCTTGGTTGAGAATAAAACATGTATCTTGTTTTTACATGTGGTAGCTTAATAATTAAAATTTTGGTATCGGCATGTGACTTTTTTACTGAGTAATATTTTTATTTTATTTTTCAATATTTTTAAATTATATTTCATTGATTATTGCTATTACAGTTGTCCCTATTTTCTCCCCTTTGGCCCTTCCACCCAGCACCCCCAACTTCTTCAGGCAATCCCCACACCACTGTTCATGTCCATGGGTATCTATCATACAAGTACTTTGGCTACTCCATTTCCTACACTGTACTTTACATCCCCATGGCTATTCTGCAACTACCCATTTTTATTTCTTAATCCCCTGATCTCTTCACCTGTTCCCCCACACCCCATCTGGCAGCCATCAAAATGCTCTTCGTATCAATGATTCTGTCTCTGTTCTTGTTTGCTTAGTTTATTTTTTAGATTCAGTTGTTGATAGATATGTATTTATTGCCATTTTACTGTTCATAGTTCTGATCTTTTTCTTAAATAAGTCCTTTAAATATGTCTTAACATTTCATATAATAATGGCTTGGTGATGAGGAACAACTTTAGTTTTTTCTTCTCTGGGATCTCTTTATGTGCCCTTCAATTCTAAATGATAGCTTTGCTGGGTAGAGCAATATTGACTGTGGTTCCCTGCTTTTCAAGTCTTTGAGTATTTCTCGCCAATCTTTGTCTAGCCTGCAAAGTTTCTTTTGAAAAATTACTGACAGTCTTGTGGGGACTCCCCTGTAGGTAACTAAGTGCTTTTCTCTTGCTGCTTTTAGATTCTCTATCTTTAACCTTTGGCACTTTAATGTGTCTTGGAGTGGGCCTCTTTGCATTCATCTTGTTTGTAACTCTCTCTGTGCTTCCTGGACTT